TTTTGTCGCCTGCACGCACAGTCCTTTAAGTCTCTACTGCAAATAATGGTAATTTTACAAGTTTTTGTACGACATTTATTTATTTATTTCTAGGTCGACATTTATTTACTTATTTAACGTCTAGCAAGTGCATAAACTTCTAAGTTCGGTTTATTTAACGACCGAAATCTTAGTAGATATACAATGTATTTAAATACATAAGGTAAACGCACCAGTAATGAACACTAGCACGGTAATACTATCATACAGTATTGTAACTTCATATAAACGGACGAAACGCGAGCTTTCCTTCGAAATTCAAATCTCGGTATGCGCTCGACATGCAAAAGTCGGGGGTGTCGCGAATGTGCCACAGTAATAAACGGACGATGTGTTGTTTTATAAACAGTAAGTGTTTTTTTATAAAAATAATTACAAGTACCTATTTATACAGGATGTTACGTAAATGGGTTTATAAGCCGACACTAGGCCATGTTAACATTTATGCATGTAAATGGTATTGTGAAGTCAGTGATATCATTTTTTTTAAATTTTCATACAAAATAAAATTACAAAATCAGATTTGTATGAAAATTAAAATTATTAAAATTTTCTGACTTCACCATACCATTTATATGCACATGTTAACATGGTCTAGTGTCCGCTTATAAACCCATTTACCTAACATCCTGTATAATAATCAAGCATATTGTACGCCTCAGTCGAGGCGCATACATTTTACAGTCGCAAATTTATAAGATTTGTTACTAAATCTTAACACAAATATTTTTTTTAAATTAAATCTATTTATAACAAGACAACATGCATTTTTATCCTATTTCATTCACAAAGTATTTTATTTATCAAAATAAAATAAAAAAATACAATCACAAAATACATTCACAAAACTAGATAGAAATTCTAAGTAGGCAGATGTAATGAAAATAGGGTCTGCAGGTGGGCAGCCCTATAGAATGTTGTCATACGGTGACGTACCGCGTGACTGTTGACATTTATTTCAAAAACATGGCCGAGTTGGAATACTGTATAGATAGTATTACCGTGACACTAGTGCCCCAATGAAGAACACATGTTAAATTCTTTAGGCTGGTATGGTACGAATTACTATACAATTTTCATGACATATTTGCATATTCCACCTTGATGATTGATAAAGTAAAAATTAATTGAGGCGAGGTGTCTTCAAACAATCCTTTAAACGTGCAGCAATTGTGCTAGAACAATAAACCGAGATAAGAGATGGTGTGGGCCGAATTAGACTTGTTCTGAACGACATCTGATTTGTATACAATGAACATTGTTCTACACTCGCGATGCACTAAGCACAATGCAGAGGAAGAACAGCCAACACGTTTAAAGCCCTTATGGCAAAATTAATCAATAAAATATTGCAATAGCAATAACTTATAGCAACTTCGCAAACGTAAAGATAGTAAATGATTGGATATTTGGAATGTAAATGCGTGTAAGATAAGGAAACATGCTGTGCTGACCTCTGATCACCTCTGATAAGAGAAAAGCAAGCGATAAACTATGGTACTCAACTCATGCAGATTTTAGTATTAATTTGGTAGGATTAGATAGCATAGGTTTATTTGTAGACTCTATCTAAATATAGGCCCTTAGCGTATAGATAATTTTCTTTTGTCAAACAAAAAGCATATTTTTAAAGCATAATTTCCTACCAAAATCGTTTTTTAACAAAAAAGAAAAAGCACACGAGGCGCGAGGTAGAGACGGTTTGAGAAAGCTGTTTTATCCCGGGCTGTGCTCGAAGGCGGGACCGCGGAAGGTTGATTGGCGAAAAATGTCAAACATAATATTGACTCGTGACACGGTAATAATATCATACAGTATTGTAACTTCATATAAACCGAAGAAACGCGAGCTTTCCTTCGAATTTCAAATCTCGGAACGTGGTCGAAATCCCAAAGTTAGGGGTGTCGCGAATGTGCCGAACGGACGTCGATGGCCTAGTGTTGAAAATGACTAAGGTGATTGAATTTGACTGACCGTCATTTACGATCTTTGTCAAAAACTAGTCATTAACTGTCAGAAATTGTCATTTTCAGTCAGTTTGATTTGAAATGAAAATTATATATTGTATAAAACCAGCTTTTGCCAACTATTTCGCCCGCCTGAAATTAAAGTAACAGGTCATTAAGTACTCATTATGATTAGAAGATTCAAAATTATTTAAGTATATTTTTTTAAATTAAATCTACTAATCATAAAACAACACGCATTTTTATCCTATTCCATTCACAAAGTATTTTGTTTGTCTAAATAAAAAAAAATACAATCACAAAACTAGATAGAAATTTTAAGTAGACAGATGTAATTTTATTAGAATGGGTACTGTAGGTAAGCAGCCCTATCGCATGTTGTCATACCGTGACGTACCGCGGGGCTGTTGACATTTTTTTCAAAAATATGGCCGAGTTGGAATACTGTATAGATAGTATTACCGTGCTCGTGATCTCATTCAACGCTGAATACAATGGACATTCAGCGATTCTGCCCAATTACTTGTCACATGCAATGTCTTACAAGTGTAGGCTGAACCCTCATACAATTTTAAGCGTGTATTTTCTAAGGGATGAAGGTCCCGTAAGATTTATCTCTAGATGACAGGTAACATAGGTGACTCGCCTACGTAACACAACACATTTAGCAACGTCAATTTGTACGAAAAGGGTCACGTTGTATTTGTAACAAGATGATACTGCCCGATTTTGCTTGACATGATAACGGTTGTTGCAGAATATATTTATGAGGATTGAGGATTTATACGGAATGGACGCATGTCGACGAACAATACACATCAGGATTTATAAACATTGCCATAGCAATATTTAAACCTATGTAGCGTTTGGTATATTATGTCAACATGTCGTGTTCAATTTGATTTTCTGTCTTAACCCAATAAAGCATCACTTTGTATCTTCTTCGCACTCCAAACTTTTCTTTTACATTTTTTGTTGGTAGCTTCGTTACGTCTACAGAAGTTTATGGAGTCTAAATTATGGAGATGAATTTTGTTTACAACTTTGCTGTCTTTGAAACTTGGCACATAGATATAACATCTAAAATATTTCGCGCTTTGTTCCTACCACTTTCCGAAGGGATACGTATGTGCCTGCCTGAAAATGTATGTTACATTAATTTCAATTAAACTACAGGTAATGAAGGTATAGCAGATAGATATTTCGTCTAAGGCAGATACTTAGGTATTCAATTAAGTAAAAACTCAATCAATTTTTTTTATGCATAACAAGGCACGTATTTGACCACAATCGCACCTGATGTTAAGTGGGATGCAGTCTAGGATGGTACATTATCCGCACTGCAAGTGCCTATTCACTCTCGCCTTGAAAAGGCAAGGAAATATTTTTATCTTCCTAAAACTATGAGTACTCGTATAATAAATGTTGACCAATCTAATAGCAGGGTAAAATAACATTGTCAATTGATTTCTTTATCTTTTAATTAATTTACGAGCGCGTTGACACAAAAATATAGAGCTTTCGTAACCGACGCACTCTCTAACTACAATAGACTGTGACAACATAGATATGGTAAAAAACGTACCAAAAGATTATAAAACTGAAAGAAAGAAATTTTCACCAAAAACGGAAATAAACTTCTCAGTAACATTTAATGATATCTAGGTAAATACAATTTAAAAAGTTAATCAAGATTTATAAAAAGTTTTTTTTATTGAAATTTAAGTTATAAATAACATTATTCATATGTTATTTCTATCTAGACATGTTGTGATTTCTACGCCCCTACTTTACTCGTACTTACGGATATTTTCGCTGTAGACCGTATTTAACCCAGCGTCGACATTAGATAACCTTAGCACTTTGGAGCGATAACGATATCGTTTCGACGCGATTCATGTTGTTGTTACAATTTGTTTTATTGCCTATAGTAATTTAAATATTTACTTACTACTCTCTCTAGACTCTAGCGTCAAGTTAGATACTTAGAAAACATAGGTACTACAAGATAGCTATTAATGTAGAGCGTGAATTAAACGATATTTTGCAAACAATGGGGATGTTGCCTGGGTCAAAAAGCAAGAGTTTTAATTAGTCCGTCAGTTAACTTATCAAAAAATACTCTACACGTATTTTTCACTTTTTCAAACTAATGAAAATTTAAAGAGATAAAGCGCCCCAAAGTTCATAAGAAGAGGCCCGTGACGTCAACGCTTGCTTAAAAATGCCGCACCTTGTGACGTCGTGCGCAACTTCAACGCACCATAACTATGTAATTACTTGTTAGATTGACAAATAAAATTACATGTGTCCAATATTTTTTGATATTAAACATTACGGACTAAAAAAATTTTTTTAGGCAACTAGCCTATTATATGAACAGAATTTTTGAAGTTTCAGCTGTAAAAATCAGAATCTTATTACTGAAAATGTTACAAACCGAAAAACAGTGTAACAATTGTTTTTTAAATATAAAACGACGCATTGGCGTAAGATCCAATGATGATAACATGACTTTGACTTTGACCTCATTGCATTGCCGACCTTGTAAAAGTTAAATCGGACCAAACAAAAAGTACTTATTTTAATAAGAAGTGCCTACTTAATTAAGAACGTATTTTGAACACAAGCATCATGTGGAAGCTCGTCCGCGTGTCAATTAATTTCATTAGCCGGCTCTAATGCCCAATAAACGCGGGAGCACATGTTATGCCCATCTAAACATGCGGGCACATGCGTGTCTTTTTATTCGTCTCTACTATTACGCAATTTGTAACCATATGCTTCAGAAAATAAAGTCTGCTGTTACTTTGGTGTAGTTTGAAATGAATTTTCACACTTCGGATCGTAGAAGTTCAGTTAACAACATTGTTATTGCTTGAACATAATGCAACTTTCTGAAGATTGATCGACTGAACAAGTTTGTGTGAAGTTACCGATTATGCCTAGTAGGCAATTTAAATAAGATTTAATGTAAAAAATGTTTTATTTCAGATGTCCCTTGTGCCGATATCAGACAACGATATGCGAGAAGAAAGAATAAAAAACATTGACAAGTTCTGCACTCCTCGATTGGTAAGAAATCTTTATTAGATATGGATACGAGTATGTAACTAATCTGTATTAATTAATCTATCGCGAGTAATAAGTAATAAATAATAGTGTTTGTTAGAAGATGCTTCCGTATCGTTAACTGATGATTTAAAGCTTGCAAGGTAAAGAAGCGTAAAGTGATATCATCAACTCGAACAATGCAAAGCTCAGCCGAGTGTATTGAGCAGGCGGCGCGATAAATGCCGAGTTTTGCTGAACCATTCATCGTCAATAAACCGCCTATCAGCATTGTATTGTAATTGGGGAGGGCTCGAGTTACATCCCAAAACGATGTTACAGCCGTATCTTGTTACCATCGAATAATAGACCCTAAGACTGAAATCGAATATCGCTCTATTTATCGATAAAAACTTTTTTACAGACGGACTTCTGGATATGCATGAACCACACGATTGAAGGTAATATCTTAATCTACGCAATTAAGTGCATTAGGTATAATGGTTAACAACTGTCGGAGATACTTCTCACATATCGATAGCAAAATTAAGAATGACTCTACATTAAAGAGTCTACTTTTATTAAAAATACAATAAAATGTTTAACTTTTGAAACTTCCTATTAAGTTAAAACAATTACAACTCGTATTATTATTTTTTAGAAGTAGAACCACAGAATAATAATAAGTATGGTAGAACGTAATAGGTAAACTAAGTACCTACCTACTTAGCATACCTACTCCATTACTGAGTGTTCTCATCACCACCTTATTTCTTCCACCCAGAGGTGGTAGACAAGGTGGGCTGGTGGGGCCGCGCGTGCTGCTCTCTCGGCAACGCTGCCGGCTGCCGACACGCCTGCATGAAGGCTGGCAGCGAGCAGGACCTCGTCACCACCGGCGCCTGCAGGCATTCTGATGAGATCGCCTTTTTTGACTGCGTGGCTGGACAGCGAGAGGCGCAGTGGTGCTGCGGTAAGTATCTTAACATAATAATTAGTATTCTATCGTCACCACCAAACTTGTTATCACCACCTAGAGGTGGTAGACAAGGTGGGCTGGTGGGGCTCGCGCATGTTGCTCGCTCGGCAACGCTGCCGGATGCCGACACGCCTGCATAAAGGCCAGCAGCGAGCAGGACCTCGTCACCACCGGCGCCTGCAGGCATTCTGATGAGATCGCCTTCTTTGACTGTGTGGCTGGACAGCGGGAAGCTCAGTGGTGTTGCTGTAAGTATCTTAACATAACAGTGTCCTATCGTCACCACTAAACTTGTTATTTCCAGCCTGAGGTGGTAGACAAGGTGGGGCCGCCTAAGTACATTATCCTCATATTTTGATTCCTCATTTGACTTTTCACAGTAATTATCTCCTAAGGCATGTCATAATTCGTGAAATTGCCTGCCTACCCGTTCGCTCTACAATTTGCTGGAAACGATTAAACAAGCAGGAGCTAATAAACAACGGTCAGCGAATCTTTAACTTGCTTTTAACTGCGGGCGTCCAAGTACTGAATTACATAGCAGAATGTTGGCATATTTCTTACACTTTCTTCATATGATTCCAGCACAGACCCACTACCTGAACTGCTATGAAGCATGCCACAAGGCCCTGTGGCGCGTCGGCTCCCATGCAGACAGCGAGGCGCGGGAGCAAGCTATCGAGGCGTGTGAACAATCTCCTGTTCTCCTGAGATGTCTGCGGAACATGACTTCTTCCACTGTGCACGCGGATACTTCCAAATGTAAGTTTTAAAGAAGAATGTGAGAAATTTTTCGAAGGTGTTCCTAATGTATGTGTGCATTATTATCATGATCATCTACTTAATATCCATCATCAACTATGTTTTGTAGACCATCTTAAAATAAATATCCCAAAAAATCTGAGATTTGACATCAGCTGATGACCCAATATTGGGACTTGGGAGTGATGCAATTTTTTAAATTTCATAGACCTCCCATGCTGCCATGAGTCCTCCCGGCCATCTTGTCGAACTGCCTGCGAGTCGGTTTTGCGTCGGACCGGCGAGTCGCAGGAGATCGAGGAAGCTTTATCGGCAGCTTGTGGCGCCCCCTCACTCCACGACAAACTATGGCAATGCTTCCTGAGAAACGACGCGCCGACTGACACCAAAGATCTCATACCCCATGATGTGGCTAAGCTACATTGCTGTCAAAAAGTACGTATCATGTACGATAATTTGAAATGAGCCTACTTCGCTTTGTAACAAGGATCAGCTGAGATCTTGGATCTATCTTGTTCCTATGAACTCTGCTTCTATTCATTACTTATTTATATGTATTTTTTTCAATACAGGCAAAAACAACGAACTGCCGAAAACTATGTTTCGAAACCTTCAACACAGGCTGGCAGAGCAACTGGCAGAAATTTTATGGTGAATGCTTGGGAGATCCTCAAGAAAACGATCTGACGGAATGTATTGATGAAGGTGAGCTATTTTACTTTAGTTATAACATGACCCAAAATATGCTTGGGTAATTCGTGAAGCTTTTAAGGTAAACGGCTACTAGTTCGTGATAGTACGTAAGTTCGTAAGTTTTTTTTCTAGCTCAAATAATAAGCAAATGGAATGTTATTTATAAAAATTATTTATAACTACAAAATCTCTATTATTTAAGCTACCTAAAAAAACAAGTACCAACATTGTGGCGCCAAAAATGAGAGCAATACGAAGCTTCAAACTCTCAGAGAGCCAAAAACAGCCGTGCGGCGTGCAAATGTTGCTCTCACCGTAAGGTTAGCGCTCCAACATCTAAAGCTTATAGAAAGGCGAAGGAACGTCCATTTGCATAAAACTTGTAATAGTGGTTTCATGTGTTCCTTGAAAATTGATTTGGCTTAGAAAAAAGTTATATGAAAACGTAGAATTCCTTTAAAATTGCGATTAATTGACTCACGAAATAGCGTACATATAATTTTTCGGGTGTCCCCTGTTTCGTGATACTACCGAATCAAGGATATTATGGATAATATTTTGATGCTTGGTTTTTAAATAATTATTTATGATAATTGAAATGTAAGTTATGAAACAAATAATACATTTATTTAAGTTTCTCATGATCTAAATTCGGTATATGTTTCATTCACTAGAATTTATATGACACGAGTTTGAAGTTCACATAAATGACCAATTTTAAGATAAATTAGCATAAGTACTACCAGCGTAATTTTGGTTTTAATTCGATTTGTTTTATTTATCTTGGTTTATTTGTATGTTATATGGGATAGATAATAGTTAATTGACACAATTTGACAATAATCCATGAATTTTACTTGGGGAATTTGGAATAATCAGTATCACGAAACGAGGAACCGTATTATTGTTACTTTTTCCCAAGTTCGTGATATATAAATGTATAGTGTTAGGTACTTGTATGACACATAACATCAAAGAAATCGACATATTTTTCAGTTTTTAATACTTACCTGCATAAGTAATTAATTAAATAATTAATTCTTACTATGACTCATTCGCGTAGGTATATGGGGTTATTTTCAGGGGGGGGGCTACCCTCACTTGAAGCAGTTCCAGGGGTGGGATTAGGGGGAAGGGGGTTAGTCCCCCCCCCACATTTCTAATGACTTGTATAAATATTTTCACATATCGTTAGAAATTAAAAATCAAAATTTTATGGGTACAAAGGGGGGGGGGGGGNCCATAATCATTATTTAAATATCCTAACTCGATGCTTATAACCTTATCCCGAAATAGGGGACATGAGTTCACGAACTTGGAAACAGAGCAAAATTTTATCACGAAACAGGATCCAAACAAGAGGTCCGCAGAACAATTAATATTAAAAAAAGTTCAAACAATATAACTATAATTTATGTATTAAGTTACTGTCAAAAGACCGAAGTTTAGCATACAAAAGCTTTAATACTGATATCATGCTTGGTTATTTTTAAATAAATTGTTAAAGTCGTAAGAGCCTTAATATACCGAAGTAGGGGGCACTTACCTTACAATAAAATTGTTTTCTGCAGTGGAATCTCCATGTTCACTTGGCTGTTCTGGTTTGACGTACTGCAGTCAACTGAACAACCGTCCAACTGGTCTCTTCAGGTCATGCACAGCTCAAGCTGACCTAGATGCACATTTAGCAGTTGCTGAACAAAAAGGGAGTGGGTAAGTCTTATAACTTTCCTTTCGAGGATTTTCTATAAATGTATTCCAAGTGGAATTCAAAAAGTTTTGAAGTAGTTTTTTAATTGTTGCTTCTCTTCAGTTTCATAACAGTGTCTGGACTTCACATGCCGCTGAAGAATTCCAGTCAGTGCCCCACCGATGTTTGGAAGAGCGTCGCTTGTGCGTTGCACGTGAAGCCATGTACAGCTAAGGTATGCTGTTGAATGGTTGCAATGATGGCATTAAAAACTTCTTACAACTTAATTTGCAGCTGGTAATAGGTATTTTAAATTTTATTTCTAGGGGCATAGCAGCCTTCTCTGCGAAGAAGACTGCATGCGGCTGGTGTCAACTTGCGTGGAGTGGTCACGTGTACCAGCACATCTGACAGCCGCAGCGTTGTGTGCGCGTATGACGCCACGCAGCAGCAATGCGCCATGCGTCCAGCTACGACAGTATATGACGCCCAGTGAGTATCATACTGTCACACAGCAGTAGTATTGAGTATAGTGACGCTGCATGCGGTTGGTGTCAACGTGGAGTGGTCGCGCATAGCACGTGACGGCCTCTTTTTGCAGAACACATAAAGAAAGTCCTGGTTGGGATCACTTGGTAGTTGGAAACCCTGGATTTTATGAGTCTTCTGGACCACTGGTAAAATAAATTATCAAATATAATTAGGATTACATACCTAAGGTAGAAGTTTTGTCAGGCCGATAGAAAACTGTAGCAGAGCTTTTTTGGTTTTATAAATAAATAAATCTTTGGATAATTTCACACAGCGCCAGCTAGCCCCAAAGTAAGCAACTTAATGCTTGTGTTATGGGCGCTAGCTTAACGGATATACTACTTATATACTTTTCTTTTTTTTTTATTAAATACATACATATTATACATATTTACACCCAGACCCGTCACAGAAATTAAAATTCATCATTTCAATTTCTGCCCGGCCGGGAATCGAACCCGGGACCTCTCGGCATAGTAGTCCGCTCTGAACCACTACACCAAACGGCCGAAAAACTTAAACTTTATCCCAACTTAAACTTTATCTTATTGACGCATACAGGTACAGAACCCCCTCTGCTGTCGGCGCGGGAGGCCGTGACGTCACCATGCGCGGGCGCGCCGTGCAACGCTTCGCAGGTGTGCGTCGTGGACAGGAACTGTCTTCGAGGTGGCGCGTGCCAGCGCTACCAGTGCTTGGATGGCTGTCCTCTTGGTAAGCCAGCTAATTCTTGCTAAGGAAAGTTTCGACGGGTTCATCCAGTGTCTAAGTAGCTCAGTTGGAAGAGTAGTTGCCCGGCAAGCGGACGGTCGTGGGTTCAATTCTCGCCTTAGGCAGTTCGATTTTTCAAGTTATTTATAATTTTCAAGCCAGCATTTGTTATAAGTCTCTTGTATTTAATTTTGATAAAGGCCGCTACCAACTGGTCAATATGGAACTCTTTGGGGGAGGTCTATGTTAAGCAGTGGACGTCCTATGGCTGAAATGATGATGATGATTTAAAATTCATAAAATTCATTTATTTTTGCAAATAGGCTTTAAAAAAGCGCTTTTACACTATTTCACATTTGATAAAGGTATCTACATAGGTATATCATCATCACCATCACCACCATCATCATCATCATCATCAGCATCACCACAATCATTATCATTATCGTCATCATCGTCAACATCATGCTAAACTAATTCATCCTAAATTATTGGAAATCATCGGATTCAAATTGCTGTTTTTGATTACGAGTAAGTATTTTAATATAGGACCATGTTCATAATAATTATGGTCCATGTTGATGCATAGTGTTGTAAGTAATAAGAAGATAGCGCTTGAGTGTCTCCAAGATCCTGCTATTCTGTCTTGCAGTCTATAATAACGAACTTTAACGTCTCAGGCGACGGCAGCAACTACGTAGTGCCACTAGGCGCATGGGTGCGCGTGCCGCGGCCGGGCCCGGCGCAGAAGGCGTGCTACAAAGTATGCCGCTGCACCGGCCGCGGGCTCGCCGCCTGCCAGCCGCTACCGTGCGTGGGGCTTGACAACTGCCGCCTGTATGACAAGGTCTTTAAACACGGTGAGTGACAGAGCTTATCTCCCGGCACAGAAGATGTGACGTAACATTCAAACTTTGCCGTTGTCCCGGCCGTGGGCTTGTCGCCTGCTGCCTCTATGACAAGACGTTTTCAAGTACGATGAGTGCACTATGCATAATGAATGTCTGCTCGGTCAGGTGGCAGGTGGTGAACCCGTAGTCACCACCTGTCAGCCGCTACTCTGCGTAGCACGGTGAGTGACGGAACTTAGTTTGAGATGTTGTCTAAACTTTAGATACAGAATATACTTTGTTGACTTTTTAGCAAACGACCGTTTTGAAGTCGTATTTAAATATTGCTAAGAGTCGATAGTGCCGTGTATTACGCCAGCTCGGCATCAGGTCGTACGTAGCGCTTAGAGTAGAGCATTTTGGCGTGTTCTAACTTCTAGGAACGTGAATGGTTTTACTTCAATACGCCACCTAGGGCTACACTGTGGTCTCCTCAAGTGCCAACCATCGATAACTTGAATGCTTGTGCTTCACAGGCGACAAGTACTTCATGGAGTGCAACGCGTGCGCGTGCTCATGGGGCGAGCGAGTTTGCGCGCGGCGTGCGTGTGGTCGAGCGCGCCAGCTGACGGGGCTGCCGTGCAACTGCCCGCCGCACCACCTAAGGGTGTATTCCGCGCACCATTTGTACCCCAACGTGTGCCTCGCCACGTAAGTACAAAGCTTACTGCTGGTGAGTACTTTTTTTTTATGTGACAAGAGGCAAACGAGCAGACGGATCACCTGATGGTAAGTGATTACCGTCGCCCATAGACACCCGCAGACCCAGGGGCGTTACAGGTGCGTTGCCGGCCTTTAAGGTGAAGATACGCTCTCTTCTTGAAAGCCTGCAGGTCGTATCTGTCCGGAAACACCGCAGACGACAGTCCATTCCACGGTTTGGTTGTACGGGGCAGGAAGTTTCTGGAGAAACGTACTGTTGTGGACTGCCAACCATCTAAGTGATGTCTAAGTGATGAGGTGTACTGCTGCTGTGGTCACAGTGGATGCTGACGGGGCTGCCGTGCAACTGCCCGCCGCACCACCTAAGGGTGTACTCCGCGCACCATTTGTACCCCAACGTGTGCCTCGCCACGTAAGTATAAAGCTTACTGCTATAACTGCAGGGTGTATTCCGCGCACCATTTGTACCCCAACGTGTGCCTCGCCACGTAAGTATAAAGCTTACTGCTATAACTGCAGGGTGTATTCCGCGCACCATTTGTACCCCAACGTGTGCCTCGCCACGTAAGTATAAAGCTTACTGCTGGTGAGTACTGCTGCTGTGGTCACAGTGGATGCTGACGGGGCTGCCGTGCAACTGCCCGCCGCACCACCTAAGGGTGTACTCCGCGCACCATCTATACCCCAACGTGTGTCTCGCCACGTAAGTCATTGCTTAAATTTTGAGGTTAAGAGCCATCTGCGCTCACCTATTGTCCAGGGGAGCTGAAAATTCCTCTCACGGCTATCAGCAAAGTCCATCCGAAAAAAAATCGCCACGTAAGTATAAAACTTACTGCTGGTACTCACCAGCAGTACTGACTGCTGCTGTGGTCACAGTGGATGCTGACGGGGCTGCCGTGCAACTGCCCGCCGCACCACCTTAGGGTGTACTCCGCGCACCATTTGTATCCCAACGTGTGTCTCGCCACGTAAGTCGTCGCTTAAATTTTGAGGTTGAGAGCCATCTATTGCCCGCTGGAGCCTATTGTCCGCTGGAGCTGAAAAAGCCGCTCACGGCTATCAGCAAGGTTCATCCGAAAAAAAAAAATCGCCACGTAAGTATAAAACTTACTGCTGGCACTCACCAGCAGTACTCACTGCTGCTGTGGTCGCAGTGGATGCTGACGGGGCTGCCGTGCAACTGCCCGCCGCACCACCTAAGGGTGTACTCCGCGCACCATTTGTACCCCAACGTGTGCCTCGCCACGTAAGTACAAAGCTTACTGCTGGTGAGTACTTTTTTTTTATGTGACAGGAGGCAAACGAGCAGACGGATCACCTGATGGTAAGTGATTACCGTCGCCCATAGACACCCTCAGACCCAGGGGCGTTACAGGTGCGTTGCCGGCCTTTAAGGTAAAGATACGCTCTCTTCTTGAAAGCTTGCAGGTCGTATCTGTCCGGAAACACCGCAGACGACAGTCCATTCCACGGTTTGGTTGTACGGGGCAGGAAGTTTCTGGAGAAACGTACTGTTGTGGACTGCCAACCATCTAAGTGATGTCTAAGTGATGAGGTGTACTGCTGCTGTGGTCACAATGGATGCTGACGGGGCTGCCGTGCAACTGCCCGCCGCACCACCTAAGGGTGTACTCCACACATCACTTGTATCCCAACGTGCGCCTCGCCACGTAAGTCATTGCTTAAATTTAGAGGTTGAGAGCCATCTGCACTCACCTATTGTCCAGGGGAGCTGAAAATTCCTCTCACGGCTATCAGCAAAGTCCATCCGAAAAAAAAAATCGCCACGTAAGTATAAAACTTACTGCTGGCACTCACCAGCAGTACTCACTGCTGCCGTGGTCACAGTGGATGCTGACGGGGCTGCCGTGCAACTGCCCGCCGCACCACCTAAGGGTGTACTCCGCGCACCATTTGTACCCCAACGTGTGTCTCGCCACGTGAGTACCTACTGTTAAGCCACCATCAAATAGAAGAACAGAAGACTGAAATAGCAGCAAGGTCGCTCATCCTTTGATCGATATCACCGCCGTCAGTCTTCTTTGTTGAAGGACAGGCATGTGGCAGTCCTTCAACAAAGAACCCAGGCGGCCCTGGGTATGACGACGGTTCCTTTACTAGCCTTGTCTAATCTAAAAACTATTCCTAGAAGGCTCTAAGGGAGAGAGAAAACGGAGAGAGAAAGAGCGTGAAAAAAAGATAAAGAAATCAGAGGGAGTGAATAGGGAGAAAAGGTTATTTGATTTATCTGGTTAAAATCTCAGAAGTGATTACTTATTGTGTTGTTAAGAACTAGGTAAAAGCCATGAACCCCCACTTTCCAGCTGTTTTAGCATTTCAGTTCCCTTACTTTACACTTTTTCCGCAGTTGTGCGACGGCCTCAGACGCGGAGATCGAGTTCGGTCTGGCGCCGGCGTGCGCGCGCGCGGCTTGCGGCTGGCGCGAGGCGTGCCTGCCCGCGCCGCGCGTCTGCCTCAGCCGCCTACAGAAGGCCTGCCCGCAGCACGTCTGCGGTAAGTACCTACGATTTACCTCGACAAGTCTGTGGTATATCGTCTATTTACCTCGACACGTACCAAAGAATCTAGCAACTTCCGAAGTTCTAAAACCAGAATCTTGCTCTGCAATTTGGTCCATATCAATAAATTCAACGTTTAAGTATCTGGACTGCAGCTCTGTCGAGCGAGACCAAACATTGCTTACAGCGACCAACCAATTTATGTAGCTAATATTTTTCAGTGAACTTATGCCCATGGTCATGCCCAAGGCTCGTGTCGTGTTCTGAACTCAGAATACAGAACAAACCAGAAGGAGTGTTCGATAACATTTCTACGCGGCAACTTGTGTCCAAAATACTTCCCCTCCCGCGCCCCTCTACCCCCTTTAGTGTTACTAGCGCCGTGTGACACCCCCATTTTCGGGGTAAAATTATGTAATTTTTTAATGAGATGTTAAACAAGTAAAAAATAAGTAAGTGAAATAAGTAGGGTCAGGGAGGCAACAGTGACTCACTTTTTTTTCGAAGCTTAATAAAAATAGATATCGCTTTAATATTGGCCTAAAATTTGCTCACATTTTAGATACACTATTGAACTGTAACTGAGCACTCATGATTCTACATTATTTACTACTTATGTCAAAGTAGGAACCTAAAACAAAAAAATGATAATTGAGCCACTGTGGACTACTAGGTGTACACACTGACTCACTACCGTGGTACACAGTATTAACGTGGTACGGCAGTATTTATATGAAAAGAAAATGCCCATTCCGCGTAGTTTTTTATTAGAAATAATAACAAAACTGCACAAGCTATTCTTATTATAATCAACAATTCAACACGACTCTTAGTACTTTTATTGCTACCTATAAGATCTTAAGTCATCTCAATCTCTTCGTTATTTATTTCTTCCCTATTTTTCTGTCGGTTTTTTTCCGTGGCATTCTGTAAATAAAAAACAAAATTCGATTTAATAAATGGGAAAGTATGAAATTCACGATAGTAATTTATTATCTCCTCATTATTTAGGGAGTAATATTATAAATTAATTCAAATATTAAAATCAAATCAAAATCAAAAATATTTATTCAGTTTAGACCACAAGTGGCACTTATAATTTAATTAATCAGGTTGTCATATTGTCATGGATGAAAATACACTAAAAACTAATTAAAACAAAAAGGATGGGGAAAATATTCCATTATTCTGTGGTAACGCTAACAAAATTAACGCGTGAATTTTTTATAGACAAATGTAATTCAATATAAAAAAGTAGGGTAAAATATTCCGTAGACTTGTGGCAACACTTACAAAATACAACCGTGATTTTTTTTGAAAATTATTATTTAATTAAAATGAATTGGAAATGTGCTACTTACGGATAAAACATGTTCCCATGCACTTTCTTCGTAATTCCAGTAGCATTCCTACATGTTGGAACGGCACAAGACGGCATAATTTAATTTTAAAGTGTCAATCTGACGGATATGTAAACAATGCGCGCGCCGGCCATTGACTAATTGCTCTAAAGTCAAAGTAGTGCGTTTTGGAGTACTTTATATGAATACACATTTACGCCCGTTGACGGTTTCTGGTTTGTTCCGTATTCTGAGGTTCTGAAACAGCCTTATTTACAAGACGCTACAAAATGGTATAATAAATCACCGTGTCCTGTTTTCTTAGCTCTTTGTACCCTGTTCATCATTAATGACATGCTATTGAATTAAGGTAGCAACTTTAAGTTTTATAACAGTGTCGTTATATTTATCTATTTTGAAATTGTTATTTCTATTGCAGTAAACACTAGCAACTGTAACTCGCAGCCTGTACAACCAGTGTGTGATACTGACGGAGTGACGCACGCCAAACCCTGCCGCCTGGCCATGAGCGGCAAGCTGCTGGCCTACTGGGGGCCCTGTCTGCAGTACTGTGACCAGGTCAGTGGAACTTCTGAATATTTTGAGTAATCAACATCAATCAGTCTTAATCTAATATGTCCTTAGATATTTTTAGATGCTGAATAAAGCTAACCTAGATTTTCAATGGGGATAAAATGAATGCTCTTGACAGCGACTAAATTGACTGTGCTGAATGACTCGTCGTAACCTTATACGATAGCTATCCTCTTAGCTTTCTTCCCCAGTGGTTGTCGGTACCTTGATTATGTTAGACTTTGCTATTCAAAAGTGCTTTCAGAAACTTATAAAGCTTTCTTACGCCCGACAAACGATGCTTGCTTAAGTGAAGCAGCAAATCGAACGCACAGCGTCGAATAAAGCTCTGTGATAGGTTCGCGTGTGACACTGTGCGTCCACGCGCACTGTGAGACCTCACAGTAATGTTTGTGAATACGGGCGTTAGGTCATAATTATCATGTTTTTTTCCACAGTTGGGATCAGTGTGCGGTGCAAATGGAGTCACGTATGCCACCGAATGTGCTGCCTGGGCTGAGTATGTGAGCGTGGATTACCTTGGACCTTGCCTCGCTGTCGGACCCATTTCCGACCTCATGGAGCCCAAGTGCCAGTTTGACAGGATAATCTGTCCGCCTCTCAGGAAACCAAACTGCCAAGGATTCACTCCTCCAGGCGCATGCTGCCCCAAATGTGGTGGGGCACTAAGAATCCTCTTCTCAAAGAAGCAAATCGAACGAGCTCTCTACGGGACCAACATTTCCTCCTCCGTTATCAATCTCCAGAACATCCTCAAAGCTTTAGAAAGACACGTCAGAACAGCTGAATGCGCTCTTAGAGGCTTCTTAACTATTGAGACTGAAATTTTTGTATCCGTCGAATCCTTGCTACAGAATCCTACTGACTTACAATTGGAAATATGTATTCTAGAAGCAGAAAAGTTAGCAGACATGATCAATAGAGAAAGTGCTTTGATTTCTATAGATTTAGGACTTAGCGCTTTGTCGTATGCGCTTACTGTGCATACATTCCCTACCAAAGCAGCGAGTAGTTTTACCATATCTATTGTAACTATGATACTATCATGTTTCGGCATTTATATTTTGAGATGAGAGAGGGAACCATTAATTTGTAAATATTTAGTTAGAATCGTGTACATAATTGTAAATATAGATCATTATACCAAATATAATAGTGCCATTTATAAAATGTAGCTACCAGTAAAGATGAGATTATGCTTTGGTCCGCTTTAACGTATAATGTTATAAGGGCACCATTTAAATATAGCTAGGAAGTTTACCATACCATCATATCAATTGTTGTGAGTTCGTTCGTTGTGCCATGTTTCACTCTGTTTATATTAGTGGTTTTAATGTAATTGCATTTTTTTATGATTTATGACTGAATAGAGCATTTTTATAAAAGACAATATGAATAGTCTTTATATACCAAATATGTAAGAAATGTGCATAGGATATTTACTTGTTACTTCTGTATGTTTTGTTGATCCAATTATAGAGATGTTTAGATACTATAGAGATACGTATTTTCGTTTATAAGCTCAAAGCTCAAATAAAAATAGCAACGATCCAATATACTTTGATTTTATTTCGCACATAACACTGAATAGTCGAGGAATATAATAATAATATAATAGCGTGAGTTTATATCATCACAATAATTGATCACTTATAATTAAATTCGGATAAGTCTTTTTTATCGAAAAATATATTTATTCTATCGAGTAATTGTGGATCCGTGACAGTTTTCGAGAGCTGCATGAACCCATTTTGCAAGACCGGAGTGATCAGCTGGAACCTTTCCAGCGGGAACGTCAGGATCAGCTCCAGGTATGCCATAAGGATGTTTTGGAAGCAATGTCGTTGCACATCTGTATCCTAAAAAGAAACGAGAATTTATTAATGCCATTTACAGTAAGTGAAAAACCATCAGCTCAATTTGTAAAAATTATCATACCTTACTTATACTCAAAGCTCTTTGCTGTTCAATTTCAGGAGGAACTGGTTGAGGCGGAATAATAGGTTCTACATTCTTAGTCTTGTCATATGATGGAGCGTCGCACATAGTAATGTTCACTTTGCGTGCGACTATGTGACTGTCCAAAGCATCAGATGCGCTCAATTTATTTTCCTTTAGTGGACTATGACGATCTTCATTTATGTAATCGTCTGTTTTAGTATCGTTATCGCAATTACCATTATCATTCAAAACTTTTGTGCTTTCATCATCAGAAACATTTACATTATCATCATGAGGAGATGCCGCTTGAGAATTGTGTACACTTTCGACGTTTATTGACGCTTGACTGTTCACTTTGAAATCCGCGAAAGTAAAAGGCTTAGGTTTTTCTGGTGACCTTTCAACATTTTCTTGAGTTGCAGTGTCATCTGGAGTTTTGGTAGGAGATGCTGGTTGATTGTTAACTTCTTGATTTCCGTTAGTGTCATTTGCATAAAATTGATCGTAATGATTTGATGAGGAGTCGGAGTCATCTGAACTAAACGACATTCGTATCTTGTGAACATGCTCCGGTTCATCAAAATCAGTAACATTGATAAGTTGCTTCACATAGTTATTGCAGATCAACTCCCACGTAGTTTTCAAATCGAATATTTTTGTTATAAACCGATCGTACTCAAGGGTTAGATTGAGAGTGGTCGTGTAATTGTGCAGAATTATTGATATATCAGTTGACTTTAATTTAAATCTGTGCACTCCACTGAAAAATATTTCTGTAAGCGCAATAATTTTAATTAACCATGATGAAGTCGTCTGTTTATAAAGATTCGCTGCGTTGTCCAAGTTTGAAACTTTTTGAACAAGGAATTTTAATCCCGGTCTTGAATCAAATTGCATCGCTCTTACGTACGACAGTTCTAGACTCTTTAACAACAATTCTGTATTTTGATCATTCAGGAAGAACTTGTAGTTACAAACATTGGAGCCAGACTTCAAACTCTCCAAAAGAATACCGTTGATTCCTTGAAAAACGTCGGAGGAAGCCTGAATGAGCACTGTAGCGATTATTTGAACCAGTATCTGATGTGCTAATAGGCCAACAACTAGTCCTCTGTGTGGGATTCTAATCGTGTATAGCTCGGGATTTAGAGAAGTCATAGTTTCTTGGAGGTAAATTAAGAAGATGTAACTTCTGTCATCAATCAACATCAAGTTTTGTGAAGAATTTTTGGGTGTAAGTTTTACATGACCATCTCCTTTCAGGTGATCAGTCAAGAAAACTTGTTGGGCCATTGCGTGTAGTCGAACGTTATCATTGACAGAGCAATCTCGTCTAGCAGCCACTTTGACCATAGCTAAGTCACCATAGAAACTGTTGGAGTTCTCCTTGAATGCATAAGTGAGTTGTTTGAGGGGAGTCAAACTAACATTACATGCTCTGTGAAGACTTGTGCAGACTATTTCCCATTGGTTATCCGTAAGCAGATGCCCCGATGTCAAAATAATATGTCTTATGCATGATGCACCCAATCTAGCTACGGGTTCCTGTGGCTGCGCTATGCATTCAACAAGTATCAACAACATTTGCTTCAATGCGAATGTGGCTTCGACACTTTCGAAAGGTTGAATATCTACGGGATCACCCTTTTCGTCTGTCGTAGATCTTTCAACGTTTATTTGTTGTAAGTGGTGCAAGTAAATGACAATGGTATCAGTCGTCATCCCACAGTACTGCTTGAAATTAGGCATGACGCTATCCCAGTGCGTATTGACATTGGCTATTTGACGGAGCCAGTTCTGTACGGTTGGAAGAAGAAGATGGTTTATGCAATGTAAGCCAAAGTGCGGCCCGGGAACATCTATGGCATTTCTTAGAATTTTGAACAGCGTTTCCATGGCTGCAGGTTGATTTTTCTTCGAACACACAACAGTAGCTGAGACTAATCCTTCTATTAGAACGTACCACACTTTAAGAATGTTGCTGGGCCTATCTAGTTTTAGGAGGCAGTTGTTTGTTGTATTGGAAAGTGGTAAAGTTGTTGACAGCCTTTTATACGATATCGGTTCTTCCTCACAAGGTTCATTTATAATGTATTTTGTAATATCCAGCGATCCACTTGGTATAATAGGATCTACTACTGATAGTGGAAGATCCCCTTTGATTCTATTTCCTGTATTGAAAATAGGACACTTTGGCATGTTATACATCATTGTTAATATTTCAGCACAACTCTCTAGATGATATAGTGCTTCTCTGCACATATCTACGATAACTTTTTCAGTTTTTTCCTCAGGTAGCGGTATGAATTTACTGTTCTTCGAGAATTTGAGACTGAGACTTGGTTTTGGTTGAGTAGGCATCGTCTTTTTAGGTTTCACTTCACTTGCAACTGGGATTTCGTCTACGCGAAGTCCCTTAATGTGACTGAGAAGGCACAGGATGCAGTCAAGAGCAGCGTTAGCAAAAACCAGAGTGTTATCCGTACTGAGGAACACTTTGAAGATTTCCAGAATGGCTGAGTATTGATTGGAGTTGTTTGCTGCCCGAAGGGTATTGAATAGTGGTCTCCAGCCAGATCTGATTTCCATTCTGTTTGTTTCTACAAATTCACAGATGCATGATATGATTTGTTCCTGGAACCAAAAATGGCAATACTGTAATTATTTCCGAAATGTAAGTTACCTAATACATCAAGCAATAGAATGGGTATGGTCGTACCTGTATGTCGTCATCACATAGCTCCAAACAGAGCAGATTCTCGAAGGGTTTTAGTAGAGCCTCATTGAAGTGGAAGTGAGGTAGCTCTACCTGTTGATTCAGGAGCGCCGTGGCGCAGTCGTGAAGGCACTGGATGGCGAGGCTGGAGATTTGGATGTCTTTGTGACACGCCGCCTGTAAGACACAACATGACATTTTAAAATATGACCACGTATTAAACGGAAAAAATATCATCAATGAAAAAAGCATACCTACCTACTTGTGTGAAAATTGCAATAGTTATAAACTTCGGAATCCTTTTGATCATTACGAGACCAAGGAGGCTAACTGCACCACAGGTAAAACACTTCTAACAGGCAGAAGTAGTAAGCAAAGGTTATTTTAAAATACCTATCTGGTCGATTAAGTTTAAGGATCATCATCATCATCTCAGCCATAGGACGTCCACTGCTGAACATAGGCCTCCCCCAATGCTTTTCATGTTACCCGGTCGGTAGCGGCCTGCGTCCAGCGCTTTCCTGCTACCTTTATGATGTCGTCAGTCCACCTTGTGGGTGGACGTCCCACGCTGCGTTTTCCTGTACGCGGCCTCCACTCTAGAACCTTGCTGCCCCATCGGCCGTCAGTTTAAGGATAATCCATAATAAAAATTAAGTAAGGCAAGTAGATTCGATCACGCAGGGAAACTCCGAGCATAGCCCGCAGGAGAACCAAAGTAACCGACATAGCTCGCAGAATTGCTAAAATCAAGTGGCAGTGGGCGGGGCACATAGCTCGTAGAGACGATGGCCGTTGGGGCAGGAAAGTTCTCGAGTGGCGACCACGGGCTGGAAGACGTAGCGTGTGCAGGCCTCCTACTAGGTGGACCGACGATCTGGTAAAGGTCGCGGGAAGAGCCTGGATGCGGGCAGCGCAGGATCGTTCATTGTGGAAAACCTTGGGGGAGGCCTTTGTCCAGCAGTGGACGTCATTTGGCTGAAAAGAGGAAGAAGAAGAAGAAAGGCAAGTAGTTAAAAGAGAAGTGTTCCAAAGGTTACAACTACAATAACCTACCTGCATAAAATGCGGTCCAACTACCGTCCATATGGCCATGCGGTGCGCCAATGGACGCGCGGCGCGTAGGCAGCGCAGTGCTACGTCACCACCGCGGCACAGCGCACGTAACGCCTCGCCCCCGCCACCGCTTCCCCCGCTGTTACTACCGCGCCGCCACCAAGCGTTGTTGTTTGCGTAGTCCGCATCCCGGGAGGAGAACAACTGCACGCCATCACAGAATTAGTGCACCATAAGGCATTTTCTTAGGCAGTATTACAAAACAACGCTTTAAACTCATAGACTGTCTTTAAATTACAGTTTTTAGTCTAAAATCTACATTGAAATTCATAATCCTCATTTTTATTAAAATTTATTTTTTAATTTTAATACTAAACGCAGGTGTCGATTTAAGTCAAGTCATAATAAAAGATAGCACGTGGCACTTTTCACAGCTCCACGTTGGGCGCCAAAATATTGTTGAGCCATTTTACGATGTTATTTTAAAGAGTTTCATTTCAACAGATAATTTCGATCCAAGTCAAGTACGAAATTGTAAACAGTTCAAGGCATTTTTATGGTAGCTCCACATTGGGCGCCAATATTATTAAGCTTAATTTTACCAATTTTATCTTTTCTTTCTTTATTTTCTTTTAATCTTTCTTCAAAGTTAGAATTTTTTGATATTGTTATTAATTTAAAAATTCAAACAGGATTATTTCATGAAACAAATCAATACTATAGCACTCACCAGTCGATGTTGGTGTGCTATAAGTCGCTCCAACGCTGCCTTGAGCGTGGGCAGCGTGGTGGTGGCAGCTAAACGGCTAAATAACGCGTCCGCGGCTGAAGACAGGGCACAGCAGACCCTGGCCGCTCCCGCCCCGGTTATTACTGTTCCTCCCTGCTAAAATATAACAACCATAAATAACTAAAAGAGATCTTTAGGTTCACAAAACAGTTCTATTTGTATCATAATCTATCTATATAAATAAAAATGAATTGCTGTTCGTTAGTCTGATTAAAACTCGAGAACGGCTGGGCCGATTGAGCTGATTTTGGTTTTAAAATGTTTGTCGTAGTCCAGGGTAGGTCTAAACGCAAATAAGGAAAAATTGCGATGGCTTATTTATTGCCTTTAAGGCGGAACAGAGTTCGCCGGGTCAGCTAGTTAATAATAAAACGGATTTTTTTTTCAGAAAAATTTGTTTAAGCTAGTTTTCTACGAGTAAAAGAGACGAAAAGTGGTGATGAATGGTATGATAGCTATGAAGCATTTTAATCCCAACTAATATTATATTATTATAAATAAATGCGAAAGTAACTCTGTCTGTCTGTCTGTCTGTTACGCTTTCCCGCTTAAACCTCGCAACCGATTTTGATGTTTGGCATAGAGATAGTTTGAGTCCCGGGAAAGAACATAGGATAGTTTTTATCCCGGTTTTTGAAACAGGGACGCGCGCGATAAAGTTTTTCTGTGACAGACAAAATTCCACGCGGGCGAAGCCGCGGGCGGAAAGCTAGTACGAAATAACATCAATGACGTAGGTAGATGACTGTGTTACTACTATGTCATTATTTACTTACTTCTTGTCGGCAAGTTTCAACGATTTTTGACACAGACATGTCGTGGTTCAGATTAGTCTCGAGCACCGGTTGCAGGAAGTTAAACACGTCCACACTGCGAAACAAATCATTCGCACATTGACATAATATTTCACGAAAATCCTTTTTGGAATCCTTGGAAGCTTGAAAAGGAGAAGGAAGGAAAGTTTGTTCGGGGCTTTGAAATGGCAATGCCAGATTTTGTATGGAAAGTGGCGTCTTTTTTTATTCGCGCGGCCATCGACCAGACTTTGTTTTTTGATTACAAAATAGTGTAATAAACCAAACTTACTATGGCATGTATACCTCTAAACTCAGTCTGAACTGAGTTACGAGCATTAGAAGTTTGATGATTTTCATACTAGATTTGCTTTTTGTGCGCAAGTTTTGTAAGAAATTGCCACAAAATATTGCGCTATTTTTTTATTGCGCTGATTCTGCTCCATACTGATATCTGGAGCCTTTAATGGATGGTGTTGTTTGTTTACACATACAATGTCACTATTTTGTTGCAATTTCTTACAAAAAAGCAAATCTAGTATGAAAATCTTCAAATTTCTAATGCTCGTAACTCAGTTCAGACTGAGTTTAGAGGTATACATGTCGTAGTAAGTTTGGTTTATTACACTATTTTATAATCAAAAAAGAAAGTTTGGTCGATGGCCGCGCGAAAAAAAAAAGACGCCAATTTCCGGCATTGTCTTTTCTCACATGCCAGAACCACTGCTGAACAGCCTGCTGCATTTAATGCAGCAAAAATCACATAAATTCTAACGCTCACCAAGTCTCATCGTCCCTTCCATCTAATGCCAGCTTCGCATCAGCCTGCAAGACTGATACGGTCTTGTTGCGTCCCGTTTGCATGGCCAGTAGTGGTGCGGCACCGTGAGCTTGCTGCCCGAATAGCGCATGTTCAAGACTTGATACGTATTGGCACGCTGCGAAGATATGCTCCCAGCACTCGGGCGCTTTGGAGCCGAGTTCAAGACCACCTGTGATTGGAAGACAGAATCAATATGAGTCTCTTCTTACGTAATAGCGATCATCATATCTATAAGATATAAACAACGCGTGTTTGGAGTTTTTTTCTGTAGCTGTTGCACTGCATGGAGTATCTCTCGTGAACTCATTTTAATTGGTTGCTAGCTCCGACTCCACTCTCCAGTAATATCACTTGAGAATGAGCAGTGCAATTACAATACACATTTTGCCAAAAAAGTGATCCCGGAATTTCCGTATGAAAGCCTGGCAATTTTCAGGCCATCTCTTGGGTATCACTTGTTAACTTGAAGTATTCAATGAGGGTTATCGTTTTTATACTTAACAGTTGGCACCCCTGGCGATTGACAGGACCTTACTCTACAGTGGCGCCATCTTGATGAGTGCAAATGCGATAGTCCTCCTACCACTTTCGCGCTCACCAGTTGGTGCCACTGTCTTCGCTACTAGCAAGTGACAGGACCTTACTATACAGTGGCGCTAACTGGTGAGCGCTAAAACGATAGCCCTCATTATGTCGAACAGCGCGTGTTTGGAGTTTCTTAAAATGTAAATGTTATTCAGCAAGAAGTTTTGCTATTCCTGTGATCAGTATATCAAGATGGCTTATCTTGTAGTGCTCTGTCAATGAACAGCGCACGTTCGGTATTTCTTCCTAAACCTGTTGGCCTGCAAAACTCTCTTGCCACTCACCAGTGATTAGTATGTCGAGTGAAAGCGCGTGGGTAGAGAGAATCTTCCCGTGCGGCGGCTGCGAGGCGGCCGATGCAGCCAGCAATGCCAAAATGCTGCTACAGCGGTTTTGTAGGCTCAGCGTGTTGCTCACACGAGCCGCCTGCAAAATATCTCTTGTATTTAGTGTCATAATGTTGTTTATTTATTTATTCAAATGCAAAAATTATTTATTGTAAAACATAGGCCAATATTTAAATTTTACGCCACCCACCAGTAAATGGAGAAACTTTTTATTGATGTGAAATCGAGATTCTCACATAGATTTTGTTAGGCAAAATAACTCCCCAAACTGGTGGACATACAAATGTCTTACTTATTGTTAATTGCGGCAACTTTTCAAATGCCATCCAGCAAGATCAATCTTGGAAGAGTAAGTCAAAGATCTAATTCAGCGCCTCACTAATACACCTCTACTGTGGAGGCTAATAATGCTATGAACTAGGATGGGGTGCTAATAGCTTCATAAATAACTTTAGCTATTTACTGTGAACTAACTCTGGTAGCTACAAATAGTTGACTAAATTAATATCAGAAGCAAAGCAACATTTATCATTATGTATTATTTACCTTATGTAGTCCTTCAAGGCATTGGATGCTCAGTCCTTCCCACGCAATCCGTTTTCTCTTCCCAAACGTGTTGATCTTCTTCGATATCATTCCGTGCAGGTTTTGCTTCCCCTTCCTATTGCCAGTGAGTGGCACGCTCAGTACCGTCACCATAGATTCCCATATACATGTCAATATTCTGGAATAGTAAAGTACTTAGTAGGCATAGTGGAATAAAAATTAACATTTTGATGAACTGTTCAAGGATTGATTTTAAGGAAGGAGGAAATCATCCATATAAACACAGATTATTTTCCCAAAGATTTTTACTGTAATAAGAACATGACTGTATGTTTTATGTTATGTTTATAATTGAGAGGCTTATTTTAATTCACAGGTATCACTAAACTGTTTCACAACATACCAACTAAATAGAAACAGAAGAGTAAAAGCAGTAGAAGAATCTGATGATATTCTTTTACTGTATCATGCTTCTGATTTCATTTTTCAGAGTTTAACGATATCTACTAAAAATAACTGCTTCTTCATTAGGCCATCCGGCCAGTCTGAAGGGGTTAGATCCTAATACCAGTAAGAACAAACCTTCTTGCCCAACGAAGACTAGCCTGGTGCTGTGGAGACTCGTTAATGTTGTTGTAGAGCATCGATACTTCTTTCAGCTTTTGCCAGTCCGACATCACGGGGCTCTGGTCTAACCCGCCAAGATCTGTTTGAATTAATACATAATGTTTATTGAAACCATCAAGTGAGTACATCTCTCGTTGTTTTAAATATCGCATTACATTATCAGCCGGAATCTCAGGATGTCCACTGCTGAACGTTAAAAATGACCTACATCAAGCACGGCCCATCAGACGCTAAAACATCAACGTCATCACCATTTCAGTCATAGGATGTCTACTGCTGAACAGGCAGGCAGGCAATTTCCATAATAGCCGGTTGGTAGCAGCCTACGTCTAGCCTTCCTGTTACATTTATGAGTTGCTTCATCATAATCTTAACATCATGCTTAGAGCTTTTTGACCAATGGCCCTCGTCCATTTAAGAGTTTTATTTTATCTAACAGCATCCAACGAAAAATACGGATAAAATGTTACTCTGTCCAAGCTATCGTACCTGATAGCAGATGCACTAGCGGGTGTTCAGTGCTAGGAACATGTTGGAGCAGGTCTGCAGCCAGCACTTGTTGATACAGCTCGCGCAGCCATGTGGCCGATAAGTATACCAGCACGCCGCTGCCTTGAACTCCCTCCACGAACTCGTCTTCCGTCATGGATACTTGCGATTTCTAGTGGAGGAAAAACAACATAGGTATATTGCAATTGTTTAGAGTGAGGAGGTAGATATTGGAGTTTGACTGTTTAAGTCTGCACTTGAACAATGTCGCCATCGGATGTCAAGAGCTAGAAAATCTCTGGGATTTGACAGAAGAGCATGAGAGTCAGAAGGCTGCATGTCCGCCATAAATCGGTCACATAGTCAATCGACATGATATTATTATAGCATCATGACTACACATCGAAAGAAACACTTGATTTATAAACCATATCCAAGAGTTGAACTGTGATGCAGAGACACGAGTTTTTGATGGTCTGGTATTTCTCAATAAGTAAGACTGACACGTAGAACACCTTTTTTTTCCAAGGAATGGAATAGTTCACTGGCTACAAGGGGTTTAATTCTTACAGACATATTTTTTAGATATTTTGGTTAATATTAAGTTTGATTTTCAACTTTATATTTTACACTCACGTCATTCGCCGTGTAGTAATCAAGTCTCCGCTGCTTCAAGCAGAGCAACAGCGCAGCGTAGGTAGCCAAGTAAACTCCGTCTGCGTTCATGATGCAAGCGGTGGCTGGAGGTTGAGCCGCGTTGTGCTGGCAGCACTTGGATGCGAATTCTTGCATTGCTTCGTCCACCTGAGCAATAAAAGAACTAAATGTACCAATAGGGATGTTTCCTGGGTCAAAAAGCAAAAGTTTTAATTAGTCCGTCAGTTAACTTATCAAAAATACTCTACACGTATTTTTTCACTTTTTCAAAGTAATGAAAATTTAAAGAGATAAAGCGCGCCAAAGTTCATAAAAAGAGGCCCGGGACGTCAATGCGTGCATAAAAGTGCCGCACGTTGTGACGTCGTGCGGAACTTCAACACACCATAACTATGTAATTATTTGTTAGATTGACAAATAAAAATATGTGTCCAATATTTTTTGATATTAAACATGACGGACTAAAGAATTTTTTTTAGGAAACTAGCCTATTGTCAGTCTGCGAGTCCAGTGATTACGGTCAGAATCACCAATAATGTAGGAATGGTTGTTGCCATCTGGAGAACTTTAATGAGGTGTTTAGTTATTTCTTAACACATTTTATAAAGGACGCAAAAAGTATATACCTATCTAGGTGATTCGTGATTGACTTACCTCAATGCAAGTCCTCAAATTCAACAGTTTCGGAAGCAGGGAGTTTTGTAATGTCTTTACAAATTGCCTCGCGTTATGTCGCTCCAGATCCACATTGCATTCTGTTATTGTGCACCTGAAACAAGTTTTACAGTTTCACAACTAAGAGCTATACTTAGTGGTATGATAAAATAATAATCTTTCCAAGTTTACGACTTTGTCTCAAATTTGGTACTCTTTGATGTCTTTTCTAGGATATTTTTTTTCTCTTTATATTGATGTTTTAAGTTTCAGGTTTTCCATCCCTTTCACCCATAGAACTGGCAAAAGTAATCTAGCGACTGATGGAGCAAAAACTGAGCTTGGGAGAAAAATCGCTGCTTCATCAAACTCATCAACACCAGAGATAAAATGTAAAGTGAAGGTAAGTTCATAACTTACCTGCCAAGGTTCAACGTCTTAGGCACCGACTTGGTCTTCTCAATATGTTCTCCGTCAGATCCCGGCGGCGACGTGGGATTGTTGGCTCGCGCGGGAAGAAACACGTTATCGGCATCCGAATCCGCTTCGCCGTCACTGCCGGACGTCGCATTCTCCGGCCCTGAAGTATCTGCGCAAAGGAGAAGGATCTTTAAGACGACGGCATTGAGGTGACTATGCAATAGTCCAAAGATTTTGCGGACGTCGCATTCTCCGGCTCTGAAGTGTCTGTATGAGAAGGACCTTTAAGACGACGGCACTAAGGACACAATACAATAGCACACAGATTTCGCGGACGTTGCATCTATGGCCCTGAAGTGACTGTGTAAAAGGATAACTCTAAGCCGACGGCAGTGAGCCGAAAATACAATGGTACAATGATTTTGGCATTGGATTGAATATTATGAGAAGAGGAAAATCTGAAAACATACCTGAAGAATCGTCTTTGTCTTCAGAGCTTTGAAGCACAGCAACCACATCTCTGAAAATTGAAAACATACAATGAGGCGCTCTCAAATACAAAACCATTATATGCTTTTTGAAAGGCCAAAACTTAAGTCCAAGCCTTGAAATAATACCATATCTATCATTTCTTACCTGTACGGGCTTGGAAGCCTGGCCAAAGTCTGGTACGTAAGTGGCCCAGTGTAATCGGCGTCTTGTAGCTTTGGCCAATGCTGTAGCATCAACGCTGCTAACTCTGGCGGGACATATTCTCCAGAGCCTGAGCAGAGCTTCTCCAAGGCATCCAGTAAGGAGACGACGCATTCAACAGCCGCTCCCACCACTTCTGGGCTGCCGCTGCGGCCACAGTCTTCAATACCGTCCATGATTCTGAACATAACAATATGATCCTAATGAGGGCTATCGTTTTAGCGCTCACCAGTTAGCCCCACTGTACAGTAAGGTCCTGTCACTTGCTAGTAGCGAAGACAGTGGCACCAACTGGTGAGCGCGAAAGTGGTAGGAGGACTATCGCATTTGCACTCATCAAGATGGCGCCACTGTAGAGTAAGGTCCTGTCAATCGCCAGGGGTGCCAACTGTTAAGTATAAAAACGATAGCCCTCATTAACTGACGAGAATAATGTCCTTGATTTAACTGGGAGGTGTATACTTCCGCTCTTTATAAGTTTTACCAAGCGAGTTGTGCAACTAAACAAGAAGGAGACTTCAAAATCTGCAAGAATAAGGATTCAAAATGGACATAGAAAGATTGCAAATGTGTGCCTTTGTAATTTTTGTATATGAAGCAGTCTAATATAGGATCAAACAGCAAAAGTTGTGCTCTGGTCGATAGCTAATGTTTTGAGAATCAAGTTCTACAGCAAGTACCGAAAACTAAGTAAAGCTTAAAGTACATAGCATGGTTACATAATTAAGGAAGGACAAAAACCATACACTTTCATGTTGACCTTCAATATAAGTCAGTTAGGAAGCTGAAAAGCTCGAATTACTTTGTACTCACAATCTGATGATGGCCATATCATCACTATGCCTCTCAGGATGCTCAGTCTTCTTCAGCAGAACCAGTTGGACCAGTCTCTTGGGGTTATGGAGCAGCTCCCTGGCACTTCGGAGAGGCTCGACGCGGTGAGCCACCGGCGGGTAGAGAAGCATTCTGTGATAGAGTGCTTCTAATACTGGACGCAGGTTCGATGTAGAACCCACTAGGCGGACTAGCTGGTTGGCTATGCTGGAAACCAAACAAGCTGGATTTAAAAGATTTACTGGAACTCTATACCTACAGTTAAGATAATCTGTATCCTACTTATAACAAGAAAGGGCAGACTTTATATTATTATTACTTAATGAAGTGCTTACTTAATTACATTTTTGAGATGCCTATGAACGCTAAATTATATTGAGAGAAATGCAGCTCTATGAACGACGGCATCAAGAAAGTAGATGACAGTGGCTGGAAGAAGCAGAAGTGGCTCCTGATCCCGGAAAGATTACATCCTGCAATGCAACTGTATCAAAATAAGGTGATAGAAAAAGAAATAGTTGGCCTACCTGTAAATAGCTTTGGCTTGTTTACTGTTGAAGCTCGGCGCACTGTTCAGAGCGCCCGAGCCTCTGCCGGAGTCGTCCACTAAGTGGCCTTCGTGTTCCCTGCAAATAAGACTTCAAGTTATGTGGCTGATAAAATATGAAGTTATTATTCCTTCTTGGGATAAAATACAAGTTCACGTAACAATTACAGTAAGAATAATGTTCGTAAATTTCCACCAATTTCCATCCCGGTTCTGACTTCTCACTGCTGTCAAGGTGAGATTGGCGCATCTAGGATTATTTTACAGGAGAAGCTCGGCCTCTAACATGCCGATGGGGTGAAGGAAATCTAAGAATTAAAATTCTATTATGCAGACAAAGAGGACACATTGTAGCAGCTTATGTACCAACCATCATGATGCCCTGCCACGTTAACGTTTAACGAAAAAAATGTTTCATCCACTCTTATCCCTGGTGAATCATCTTCTTGATCATTATTTTGTGTTGGATTAATATTTACCTGGATTTAATATTCTTATCCACCCTAGGAGTACCAAGGAACGATATCAGCGAGGGGCAGAACTTCTGCCAGAGGAACGTCGTGAAGTGGGAATTCCCACTCACGCGCTCCGATAGGCTGGAAATGAGCGTCAGCAGGCAGTCCAGGAAGAACAGAGCTAGCGGATTCTGCTTTGGCACGCTGGAATGGAAATTGTGATGATGAAGACGTAAGTAATTTTAAAACCTATAATGTCACTAGGAGAAGAGGGCAATGAGATACTACTTTTTGTGTATTTTAACTGGCCGCTTAGTTCAAGACTAAGAGCCGAGACAATAGAAAATGTATTGTTTGAGGCATGAGAATCATCGGTGAGACGCGCAGTATCACAGTATCTAAGGCGTTGAAGCTGGGTGTCTTGTTACCTACACTTCCTGCAAAACTGTTAAGTAGAAACTCTATAATTAACCCCTCTTCTCAAAAGGAAGTTTTGAAAGTTTTATTTTGCAAAAAATGAGACACAATAAATGTTATATTCAGGAGTGTATCAGTCACAGATATGAAGTATCAGTGGTATGTACTTACAGTTGAGTTTCGGAGAGCCTGCTGCATAAGTACTGTATGACCGGTATAACTTCGCTGTAGCACCCCACTGCTACAATATGGTTCCGGCCGAGTGGCGAGCCTTCGGACAGGAGCTCTTGGCATTCTTCATCTGTATGGAGAAAGAAAAGTGAGCTTTTACTTAGGTAGGGGATGACAGTTCAATCTAAAGATCAGATTATGATACAAAGTCCACCATAATAATATCAAGGTACCAGTAGGCACACGAAATTCTTTTTCTCGAAAACTTTTTTCGCTAGCTGAGAACTCCTGCGAAGTCTCGTATTGTGCGTCGTTTTCTAGTAATTCGAGAACATCTTCGTTGTTGCGTATTGTTCGTTTTCTGGTATATGGATCTCTTGGATCGTCGTGTATTCTGCCTCATTTACCGCAAGGAACTCACCCAACTGAGCGCAGTAAGCCCTCAAGGCCTGGGCGGCGGCAGCACTGGCAGCGGCCGCTACGTGCGGAGCGGCGCCGGCGGCCTCCCCGCAGCGGCCGCAAGCCCAAACGCAAAGCCGGCCGTTGAGACAGCGTCAGCGAGAGTTACACGCGGATCTAGTAGTTAGATGCGCATTGTGCGTCTACGTTCTAGTAGTTGGAGAACTTCTGCGTTGTAAGCAGTGAGCCCTCAGACAGCGCCAGTGAGAGATACATGCGGAACTGGTAAATAGAGACTCATGCATATTGTGCGTCATATTTCAGTAGTTGGTAAACCCTTGCATCGTTGTTGGTTGCATATTGTGCGTCGTTTTCTGTTAGTTGAAGAACTCCGGGGTTGTCGCATATTCTGCGTCATTTAACTACACAGAAACTCACCCAGTTGTGCGCAGTAAGCCCTCAAGGCTTGTGCAGCGGCGGCCCTGGCAGCGGCCGCTACGTGCGGCGCGGCGCCGGCGATCTCTACGGCGGTTGATAGTTACATATTGTGCGTCGTTTTGTTAGTTGAAGAACTCCAGGGTTGTCACGTATTGTGCTTCGCTTAATGACTTACCCAACTGTGCGCAGTAGGCCCTAAAGGCCTGGGCGGCTGCAGCCCTGGCAGCGGCCGCTACGAGCGGCGCAGCGCCGGCGGCTTCCCCGCAACGGCCTTGCGGCCCAAACGCACAGCCGGCCGTTGAGCGTGCGCCGTGGAGACAACGCCAGTAGTACATGCGGAACTAGTAGTTAGATGCGCATTGTGCCTCTGCATCTAGTAGTTGGAGAACTTCTGCGTTGTAAGCAGTGAGCCCTCAGACAGCGCCAGTGAGAGATAGGTACATACGGACTGGTAGATAACAGACTCATGCATAATGTGCGTCATATTTCAGTAGTTGATAAACCCCTGCATCGTTGTTGGTTGCATATTGTGCGTCATTTTCTGTTAGTTGAAGAACTCCGGGGTTGTCGCATATTCTGCGTCATTTAACTACATAGAAACTCACCCAGTTGTGCGCAGTAGGCCCGCAAGGCCTGGGCGGCTGCAGCCCTGGCAGCGGCCGCTACGTGCGGCGCGGCGCCGGCGGCCTCCCCGCAGCGGCCGCAAGCCCAAACGCAAAGCCGACCGTTGAGCGTGCGTCGTGGGGATAACGCCAGAGAGAGGTACATGCGGAATATTTGCACCTGGAAGGACGATGTTCTTTTTCGCCGATTTTAAATTTCTATACAACAACTTTCCAGATATAATATTGAAAAGTTTATTTTCTGACTTAAGTAATCCCCATTTTTCCAAAACCTAATTCTTCGAAAACCTAACTTTATAAACCTAACTCTTCTAATACTTACGTACCTACCTCTTTAAAAACCTAAATCTTCGAAAACCAAACTCGAAAACATAACTTTAAAACCTAACTCTTCGAATACTTAACTCTTCAAAAACCTAAATCTTCGAAAACCAAACTCTAAAACCTAACTTGGAGTCTTAGAAACCTCACTTGTAAACCTAACTGAAAACCAAACTCGAAAACCTAACTCTTCGAATACCTAACTTTTCAATAACCTACCTTTCTGAAAACTCTTCTTTGGCCCTCATAACGTGTGACGTAATTTTATGGATGAGTACAATATGGATAATAATTTGGTCTAGTGCTATTTTGTTTACATCAGTAGGCAATTTAAAGAAAACAATCAAAAATAAATCAATTAAAACCTACCTGCGTGTCTGGTAGCTGGTACATGACGGACGCTGTGGCGCAGAGCAGCTGCGACGGCATCCACAGCGAGTCGTCCTCCGGCTCGATGCCGCGGTGGAATCTGTCATCGCGCAGAATTTTCTGGAAGCCATTATTATTTGATGAGAAGTTGTCTCATGTAGTTATGAAAATATGATGTAGGTATGGTAAGAAAGTATTTGAAAGTGTGAGTGTAAAATTAAGCGCTAGAATGTAGAGTAGATGTTTTATACGCACTAAGGACGCAAAGTGGAACACTTGTTGAAAAAGCTTGGCCGAGCAATAATCTTGCCCGTAGAAGTCTTCGTGTATTTTAACCAGACAGTCTTAGAACAAGAGAGATGGCAGGAGATCGTACGGAGGGCTATTGACAACAGCCTATTGTCTACATCTGCTGACGTCGTTAAAGTAACCAGAATATGACCACAATTCAAAAGTACCTAATACGACAGAACAATCTTATTTATAATGCGGAGATACGGCAGGAGATCTTGCGGAGGTTTGTGTTCACTGCTAAAGACGTGGAGGCCTCGACTAGTCTTTCAAGAGCCATACGAAGATTTGATGTTACGCACATGGAAGCCCTGGAGCGCGAAGCTGACGAGCCTGGGCCGCTTTGTCTCGAGCGCCACCTGCAGCGGCAGCAGACAGGCGCGCCGCAGCTCGTACGACTGCCGCCGGGCGCTGCTCTCTTGGATACAGAGGATCTCTGAAATATTACATTATAGTTCCTAGTTTAGAATTTCGTGGTCCTTGTTTAATTTTATCTTTTTTAAACTCGTACGAGTGCCGGCGGGTACTACTCTCTTAGATGCAGAGGATTTCTGAAAGGTGATCACTGAAATAGTTTGGGCTTCTAGAACTCTACAATTAAATTAATTTTTAAAATATTTTTTTTGAGACTCGACTGAAGCGCGGTGCGCTGTTATCTTGGATGTAAAACATCTCTGGAAGGTTACAATTAGTCCGGGTTTCTAGTACTAGAGAACTTCGAATAAGCTCATTATTTTTAATGTTTTTCAAAAACTGCGTGCGACTGCCGGCGGGTGCTGCTCTTTTGGATCTTGGAAGGTTACAAAATTATTTTTTTCGGCTGAGCTGCAGCAAAGTTGAGTAGACAGAAAGTCAACAGAAATGTAAAGAGTATTAGAGAACCCACCCTAGTAGTCATAGTACTCATAGTAGTAAGTATCTGTGGTCATGGTAACTGTTATCAGTGAAAATTTTCAACCTAGGTATTCAAAGTGTAATGATGACGTCATGAGTAAATAAAAAGTTCCAGTTATATACCCGTAGGTTTTTTTATAAGTATTAACAACAATTAACAACATTAAGGCGTTTAGTAACATGTAACTGCAATGACAACGAAGATGCAGAATTGAATTTCATTAGAATTCGATAAAACTTAATTTGCCGCCTAATTATGTTTCATGAAAATAATGTTTTATTAAAAGTAACTCTATGAAGTAAGAAATGACGAATTAATATTCACCTAGAGCATCCTGACATGATTTTCTCAGCGCGGCTAGTTTTGGCCCCGTTGCCTCTTTGAATATATCTTGAAGCAGCTCCTCCATTATCAAAACATATGATTTGATTCAACTTTTAATGACTATACGAGCACTTCATTTTTATTCACATTTTACACAAAAACTAAAACACAATAAAATTTACAGCTTCTCTTAGCATTTACAATGAATACAATGGTTTTTATCTATTTTAAATGTTATTTGAGTGGGAGTTCGTGGTGTTGGCTTATCACTCGTTGACGTAGTCGGCCGAGCATGCTCAGTAGAAAAATCAATACTCCTTCACTCACAGTTTTGTTATACGTTTTATAACAAACTCAACAAGTACTTGTAGGTACCTTGAAAGTTAAACTGAACATAATTTATAACCAAAAGATCAATATTACAAATTGTATTAATATAAATGCACTAAACAAAATAAATGTACTTATAAAAACTGTAAAATATAAAACTCAATCTGTATCTGATTGAAAATAACATCAAAAGAAATTTAAAACTGTAAAAGCAATACTAAATAAAATAAAAAAACAGTTTATTAAACAATTATTTTGTGATTTACGTCATACGTAATCAAACAAAGTCAAACTTTGGCGGGCTTTTTATTTTGTGTCCGAAACGAACTAAAACATCAAAAATAGTCTTTATTTATAACGCTTTAGTTGGTGTTGGTAAAATCATTCCTATAGTTTGGATAAAATAATTTTAGTAATTAATTTACTAACTAATGGATTCATAATAAGATGAATGAAATAAGTTTCATTTTATGATTTGAGTCTGTGGTTTAATTTTGTGATGTCTGTAATTGCCACTATCCACGGCAGTAAAATTCATAAAAAAGTCGAAACTGTCAGTGTCACTTGTCAAAAAAAAAAATACTGCGAGCTGTCACTTCTGTCAGTCAGTAGGTCGAATTTGTCAAAAACAGTCCAAAAAAATGGTGTCTTGGAGTGCTTTGGGCCGATCTTTCGGCATAAACTTGTTGAAAAATCACGCAAAAACACCTTTTTTGGCCCAAAATGTGAACTTTTCAATGACTAAAGCGCTCAATGGCGCTCACGGACATCAAACTTTTGCTTTGCAGCCATCCAGGTAAAGTTGTGTGTTGTGATTACCTAACCAATTTTCTTCCAATTACTTTAATTTTTCTATAAATAACTAACTGTAACTTAAAATATGAGTACTTCTAAAGAGGTCCCATAGTTTAAATGGTCAGATTATTGTCAGTTTTGTCACCTGAGACACTTTATAACCTCTTCACATTGTTATTGTTTTAGATGGCAGTGGCACAAATTCAAGGATATGTTCCACTACTATGCGATGGTAGGGCTGATCCCGGTGAGCCTTATCATATTCTACACGAACGTGTTCATCGGGCCTGCCCAGCTCGAGCCCATTCCTGATGGATACAACCCTAAGTACTGGGAGTACCACCGTCACCCCATTACTCGCTTCATCGCTCGATACCTGCACACCAATCCCCAGCAGGTAAGTTTGATCTTTAATACTGTGGGATAAAGAACAAAAGGCACTTCTCTTTTTTTTACTGATTTCTTTACTAGTCAATACTTTTAATAAAGCCATACTCAACCCGTGACTAGAACAAAAGCCCACGTTGGCCAAATAGTTGTAATGAACATTAATTTACTCATTATAAATACCTATTAGGACTGTTAAGAGTAGGCGCACACCGTTGATTTTTAGTTGGCCGATAGTTGGGCCCGATTTTAATTTGTATGAAGAATCGGCCTAATCGAATCGGCGTAGTGTGCGCACTCCCATACATGCCCATACTGATCAACTGCCCGACTTAACTAACGGCCGACGAAAAATCAACGGTGTGCACCTACTCTTACTGTTGGTTCCTGAACTTTGACATGCCATAATTAAATAGTTGACAATCAAGTTAGTAATTATTATTATCAATATTAATCATTACCAGTCATTTCTATTCTGTTTTTTGTGATTACAGGAATATGAAAAGTTCTTGCATTTTATTGATGAAGAAGCTCAAAAGCAAAAGCTAAGAGCCTTAGAAAATAAAGTCCTTCAGAAGATGGGTGAGCGTCACGATTACCAGGCGTACTACTACAGGCCAATGATGAACAAATACCTCAGAATTAACAAGAAGACCGGTGATGAGCTCTATGAACGCATCGGTGATGACTACAAAGATTAAACAAATTTTGAGTCTACAAACCTGTGTTAGTATATTTTTAGTAATCAAGTGAATTGTTACATATTGCTATGTAGATAAATAAAAACTTTTTGATCGTTTCTTGGCACTTGATTTATTTTAGTCAGGAAATCAACCTAGATCAGTGTAATAGTTAAAATAAAATGTCTACATGCTTTTTTTGCTAGTTTATTTATAATGTAAATTGTTTTATTATAGGCCCCATTTTTTTATTCTTTTAACTTTTCCAGTTAATGTAGATTATTATTATGTGTCTGGGATATAATTTTTGGATGAAATAAAGAATAAGACTATGGTAACATTGTTATTTATTTTACAGGAAATTTCTAACGATTGACAATAATAAATTCCGACACTTGGAACTCTTACAAAATTAATGTCAACACTTATCTAGCATATGCTAAATGCGACCTGATATGGTTCTACTTTCTATCCTTTACTTAATGGGTTTAAAATATTTTAGAATAGTTTCTATGTTCTTGAATCACCTTGAAATATTGTTAAGATACTGTTAACTTGGATTGGATACTGGATATTTTAATTTCTGATCATTTTAATTATGCTTTAAGTTAAGTAGTAAAAAATATTGTTTCATCTCACCAAATTAATCATTAAAATATCTTGAAAGTAGTATGAACTAACTCAGATTTATTGTGTGAACAACTTAAACTTACATATTATACATACTAATCAAAGCTTCACCTAAGGATAAACTAAGTACGACAAAATGAGTACCTACATAATAAATAAATTCTTTGGCGGTGCTGGAATGCACGAAGCTCTTAACTTTAGTGTTAAACAAGTAAGTAAATTACAAAACGATATGATTTCATTATCCCATTCTTTCAGTCTTCGCAGTTTGTAGAGTTCCAACTATGACCCAACAACTATAGATTGCTTCTCATTATAACACTTGATAATAAAACTATATACAACATCCCTAATATAGTCAACAACTTCAAGAAGAAATTGTCACTAAGCTAAAACAATTTTAATCAACCAAATGTAAATCAGTATCAAAGCACAAATTAATCTTTATCCAATCGAAGTAAAAAAATAAACTTTAACATTTATTTACTGTAATAAATATTTGTATATGTGGACTACAATAGTTAAATACTTGCTATTTAAAATTGTTTTTACGATTCTTCAATAATAACAATTTTTCGAATCTAATTTTAAGACGGCTACGAGTTGCTACGTTGTAAAAATTTAAATTTGATCCTTATTTATTCTTTTCTTTTTCTGCTTGCGCGGCGAGCTTCGCTTCTTTCTTAGCCTTTTTTTTTTCTTCCTTCGCGAGTAATTTGGCTTGTCTCTCTTCCTCCTTTGCTAATAGTTTGGCCTGTCGTTCTTCCTCTTTAGCCTGAAGCTTAGCTTCTTTCTTCGCCTCCTTCTCTGCTTTAAGCCGCTGTTTCTCTTCTTTCTTTCTCTCTGCTATTTCATTTTTCCTATTATCCGTACTCTCATCCTTTTTGCTTTTTTCATCCTGTTTCGTGTTTTCGTCGCCTTTATTCTTCTTATCTTCTTTCTTGGGTTTTGTTTTGGGGTTATCTTTTTTCCTTTCAGTCTCTTTGCTTTGATCTCTGGATCTGGGTGGATCGTCTTTATTCGAAGGTTTCAAAGGCCGGAAGAAGTGCTGTTTGTCCTTCTGTGGTGATGTTTCTAGCTGTGTCACTATTTTCTGGGCACATCTGAAACAAGTAAGTTACATGATATAAATGAATGAACTAACGTAGCGGGAAGAACCTGGATGTGGGCAGCGCAGGACCGGTCCTTTTGGAAATCCTTGGGGAAAGCCTTTGTCCAGAAGTGGACGTCATTTGGCTGAAACGAACGCAAGTTTGAAGCCACGATAGCCGAACGGTGAAGGGGTCGGACTGGTCGACTCATGATCTGGGGAACTCGGGTTCGATCCCCGCTGCCGCTCGACTATTGTGCTGAGCTCACTCGTGACACTAGCATATTTAGCTTAGTACGAGGCGAGGGGCTAACAGGAGTATTAGTAATTAATTTGTGTAATAACAAATTACTAATCTTAAAAAAAGTATGTTTTACGAGTAGACAAAAGGTCCTACTTTTACTACTGTAACAGCAGTGTTGGTGTTTTTTTACTGTTTTATATTTGTCAACAAAGTTTTGTGTCCAGTGAAGTTTACAATAGGGGATAGGGGGAGGCCTTTGTTCAGCAGTGGACGTCATTTGGCTGAAACGAACGAACGAACGAAGTTTACAATGTCGTGACTACCTTATCCTAGTAGAGGCGGAGGCGGCGGCGGCGCTCTCGCGACGGCCCTCGCGGAACTCCCGCTGGAACTCCCTGATGGGGGGCAGACGCCCCGACGGCTCGCCCGCCGCCCCGCCCGCCGACCCGGGACCGCCGGTGTAGCTGTGGACTTGGTACTCTTGGAGTCTAGCCTGCAATGTAAAGGAAGCTTAGGTAGTCATTAACATTAACTCATATCATTTCAAAAGATCAACAACTTGTGCATTTATTTCTTATTATTTATGTGATTTATGTACCTACAAGCAGAAGTTCTAGTGGGTGCGATAAAGGTATTGGTGACCCTCAGCACTCAGAACCGGTTCAAAGGTTGCAGCATCTTGGTTAATTGCTGCAAGAGCGTGGTCGCCTGTCACGAACGCAAAGTTCCTACACAAGAGAGTTAAGAGTCGAGGCAAGAGTAATAAGCGCCGACGTAGTCACTCGCGGAACCGCGCCCAGGCAAGCGCCCCCACACTTGGCACCGCCACAGAGCTTTGTGGAACACCCATTGATGACGTCACACCGCTCTTCAGTTGTTAACTTACCTTCATGCTATGGTGCTGTGACCGCCGTAGTGAGTTGGAGGCAGGCTGCCTGGCCCGCGGGGGCGCCGACGCGGCCACCCGCGGCACCGCGCCCAGGCAGGCGCCCCTACAGAGCTTCGTGGAACACCCACTTATGACGTCACACCGCTCCTCAGTTGTAAACCTACCTTCATGCTATGGTGCTGTGACCGCCTCAATGAGTTGGAGGCAGGTTGCCTCGCCCTCGGGGGCGCCGACGCGGCCACACGCGGCACCGCGCCCAGGCAAGCGCCTCCGCACTTGGCGCCGCCGCAGAGCTTCGTGGAACACCCATTGATGACGTCACAACGCTCTTTAATTGTAAACCTACCTTCATGCTATGGTGCTGTGACCGCCTCAACGAGTTGGAAGCAGGCTGCCTCGCACGCGGCGGCGCCGACGCGGCCGCCCGCGGCACCGCGCCCAGGCAAGCGCCCCCGCACTTAGTGCCTCGTATAACACCAGTTGATGATGTTGCTGTTGTTCGGTTATATACTTACCTTCATGCTATGGTGCTGTGACCGCCTCAACGAGTTGGAGGCGGGTTGCCTCGCCCGCGGGGGCGCCGCCACAGAGCTTCGTGGATCACCTATTGATGACGTCACACCGCTCTTCAGTTGTAAACCCACCTTCATTCTATGGTGCTGTGACCTCCTCAACGAGTTGGAGGCGGGTTGCCTGGCCCGAGGGGGCGCCGACGCGGCCACCCGCGGCACCGCGCCCAGGCAAGCACCCCTACAGAGCTTCGTGGAACACCCATTGATGACGTCACACCGCTCTTTAATTGTAAACCTACCTTCATGCTATGGTGCTGTGACCGCCTCAACGAGTTGGAGGCAGGCTGCCTTGCCCTCGGGGGCGCCGACGCGGCCACCCGCGGCACCGCGCCCAGGCAAGCGCCCCTACAGAGCTTCGTGAAACACCCATTGATGACGTCACACCGCTCTTTTGTTGTAAACCTACCTTCATGCTATGGTGCTGTGACCGCCTCAGCGAGTTGGAGGCAGGCTGCCTCGCACGCGGCGGCGCCGACGCGGCCGCCCGCGGCACCGCGCCCAGGCAAGCGCCGCCGCACTTGGCACCGCCACAAAGCTTCGTGGAACACCCATTGATGACGTTACCACCGCTGTTCGACGATACGGAAGACACTCCTGGAATTTATAAGGAATACATAAGTAAAATTACGGAAGACGTAGTGTGGGCAGGCCTCCTACTAGGTAGACCGACGATCTGGTGAAGGTCGCGGGAGGTGCCTGGTGCGGACGGCGCAGGACCGGTTTTTGTGGAAATCCTTGGGTGAGCGTTTGTTCAGTAGTGGACGCCATTCGGCTGAAATGAACAAGTAGGTAGGTAATTAGGTAATGTAGGTACATAATATTATAACTAACTTTCAGAGTTAGAGCTAGATAAGGAAGTTTATATTATACCTATACTTGACCTTGATAAGATTTAGTATTACTTAGTTTGAATTTCTTCCTTCGCTGTTAGCACTTACCCTGTGACCTGCCATGCTTACTTATGTAACAACACAATTGTTGTTTGTTTGCTTTAAATTGAGGTCAAACCTACGATTACATCTTGACGCTTAAGTGGATAATGCATGTTGAGAACTTGACATACCTACAACGGAAAATAGCTAACATAATCCTACCTTAACTACCTACTTAAGGGCAAGGTAACGAAAATACCTATGCTAGTGGCTTTATTTCAGGCTACTGCCACTCATTTTCACAAGGTCTGACTGATGTGACCCTGCTCTTTAAAATGGTTTGCTGAAAGAAATCAGCGTAAAGGCCCAATTCGATTTTAGATGTTTGCTAATCATTGACACATTGAAACCTGTAGAGACGTGTGCCCACAGAGTAATTGGACACGGAGTTCGGCACTCCCCACGACTTGCTGATACCGTTTGACACCTGCAGTGTCTTACCGGAGAGGGAAGACTCTCCGCTGGTGACGGAGTAGAGCGAGGCGGAGGCTGGCACGGAGCGCGCGCCCACAGAGTAGCTGGACACGGAGCCCGGCACTCCCCACGACTTGCTGTAGCTTGACACTAGGGAGTCTCTTACACTTGACACTTGGAGTCTCTTATACTTGACACTTGGAGTCTCTGACACTTAACACTTGGAGTCTCTTACCGGAGATGGAAGACTCTCCGCTGGTGACGGAGTAGAGCGAGGCGGAGGCTGGCACGGAGCGCGCGCCCACAGAGTAGCTGGACACGGAGGCCGGCACTCCCCACGACTTGCTACCGCTTGACACTTGGAGTCTCTTACACTTGACACTTGGAGTCTCTTATACTTGACACTTGGAGTCTCTTACCGGAGATGGAAGACTCTCCGCTGGTGACGGAGTAGAGCGAGGCGGAGGCTGGCACGGAGCGCGCGCCCACAGAGTAGCTGGACACGGAGGCCGGCACTCCCCACGACTTGCTACCGCTTGACACTTGGAGTCTCTTACCGGAGAGGGAAGATTCTCCGCTGGTGACGGAGTAGAGTGAGGCGGAGGCTGGCACGGAGCGCGCGCCCACAGAGTAGCTGGACACGGAGCCCGGCGCTCCCCACGACTTGCTGTAGCTTGACACTTGGGAGTCTCTTACACTTGACACTTGGAGTCTCTTATACTTGACACTTGGAGTCTCTTACACTTAACACTTGGAGTCTCTTACCGGAGATGGAAGACTCTCCGCTGGTGACGGAGTAGAGAGAGGCGGAGGCTGGCACGGAGCGCGCGCCCACAGAGTAGCTGGACACGGAGCCCGGCACTCCCCACGACTTGCTGCTACCGCTTGACACCTGGAAAATATAAGAAAATGCCTCTTAAAACGTGCTATGTATGTATAGCCTAGATACTTTCTTACTATAAAATGGAATACGAGTTCAAAAACTAACATTGATAGGTATCTACCTGAAATGATGAAAAATAAAGATGGTTATTTGGTTGGCGAAAATCGCTAGAGGCACACGCCATTACATACTTAAAATGTAGAGCTACAGACATAGCTGGGCACCGTTAATCAAATTAGTAAACTTCGTTAATCGTTAAACCGTTAATAAAAAAATTATAGCCTGACCAGGAACATAAAAACCCTCGCCATGTTGCGGAAAACTAATGGTACTAATTTCTTTTAATGGCAACAGTAACTGAAAACTTCATTGACATGTCACCTTGCATGTCAGTCTATTGTTGTCAAAGTGTAAACAAACTTTATTTTAAATGTTTGCAATTGATTTTGTGAATTAAATTGCTAAAATATTTTTATAGTCGTGAAAGAAAAGTGGTTCACGATGTGTTAATGTATTTGTCGAAGATAAATATTAAGGGTTCGGACAATATTTTCATTGAATAATGTTTGCGACAAAGGTTGTCAAATTGACTGACATGTTTATCGTATAGTACAGTCCACTATGAAAATTAGCTGTAGTCTGTTTCAACTACCTATTTTAAAGTTTTTTGTCACTTTCTAAGTTTTGAATTTTATGGAATTGGGAAAGAAGTACCGAGTTTGAAGCGTTCATGAGCAGACATTGCAGTTGAATATACAAGTTCTGAATTTGATTATTGATGAATAATAAAATAAATCCTACTAGCTCCATTGATGGTTTCATTTAATTTATTTAAACCAGGTTACCTTTAATAATATTTTTCGTTAATTTATGAAAATATCAAATTAGCCCGTAATCCTGAATCCTGATACATAAAGGATGATGGGCACAAATGTATGGAAAGTGGTACCCGCTCCAATAGCCATAACCAATATATATTTCAAAAGGCCTTTTGATGTAGAAAAATGTCTGCTATGGGGCCAGTTCTAATTCACGTTTTGAAAGCAGTAATTCCACTAAGTATTAATCGAAAGTATAACACAATCATCCATGTATACGAGTATGTACTATGACTAGAATCTATTAATATAACTAAAATAAACATTGAAAAGGAAAGGATGAACGTACGATGAACTACCCAAGCCATTAGCCCTTTATTCGCTTTCATCATCATCATCATGATCATTTTAGCCATAGGACGTCTAGTTGAACATAGGCCTCCCCCAATGATTTCCACAATGGCCGGTTGGTGGCGGCCTGCATCCAGCGCCTTCCCGCTACCTTTATGAGGTCGTCGGTCCATCTTGTGGGTGGACTTATTGGGTCTTGTGGGTTTATTCGCTTTAGCAACCCATAATAAAACCCTTAAGAAGTAATAAAACTCCAACCCCTTTATGAATAAAAGTTACACCCTAGTTGAACTCTGGCTTAAATTGTCATTTGGTATGGAAATGTCATTTTAGTCCAAGGTTCATCCTATAACTTTTTATTAATAAGGGGGTAGTAGTACTTCAAATAAAAACATTTATTTCACAATTATCCCTATCAATAATTATAGAGTTAAGGAAGGATGCTGGAGCAGTAAACCCTTCATGCCTCGCATAACCTAAGTACCATAGGTACGATGGACACATATGATACTTCGGTTACACAAAAAGTATGTTTATCTTCGAACGCAACCAGATCTGAGGCTGGTGGCCATAGTAAATGTTGTTCGTCTTGGAAGAATGGCTACTGGGTAACATCTCGCATTACCTCGGAGCAAAAAATGGCTACTGGTTAACATCGCGCGTTAACTTGGAGCTAAAAATGGGTCAAAGTTACGCGTCGTGTCACAACGCTTATAATAAAAATGTACGAGCACTTACACAAAATAGTTGTTACAACCAACCTTGTGTTGGGTCTAATTCTCGTCACTACACTGCACAACTTAAAATAATTACGTTTTTTGTCGGTAAAAACGTCCTGGTGACGTCACTTAAGCATTTTTCTTATACTGCGTGCGGTCGTTGCGCGTGCGCACAAAGGAATGAGACCGCTCGGACACCGAGCCCACAGCGTGGTAGGGGTGGGGTTGCCCGCTCTTTTGTTTTTTACTACTACTGCGCTGAATATTGTGTGCGGATTGGCTTGTCGTACAGGGGTACTACACGGTAAAATAAATCTCGGAGGCGAAAGCAGGATAATTGTTATTAAAACATTTATTCCATTTCTGGTGTGGCCTATTAATACTTTACAAATATCTATAATACCTATAAAAATATTTATCTGGTACTTAAAATAGAATGATACATATTTACATAAAGAGCAAAATTAATATGTATGTATGTTTGCTGTCTATAAAATGAAATTATAATCTGATAAAATAATTTAAATCAGGTAGATCAACTAAAAATATGTAAGCATAGCATTATTCTAAACAAATAGGACATTAATTTAAAATAAATAAATTAAGCTATAATATTAGGAACAGAAAGGACAATCTGGCAAGATTATAAGTAGTTTAGCAAGGATTTGTCAATAGTTTTGCAAGGGCTTTTAAAATATTTGAATAAAGATGTTTTTATACTGAGTAGAAGAGATAAAAAAATACTAAGCTAATAGTAGCTAGGTAAATCTAATTATTATGGAGTTCTTACCTGGTTATGATAATAAGTTCTCTCAAGCCAGTTCAAAAGATTTTTCTGAAGAACTTTTCAAACTATCTATTTTAATAAACTAATAATATGGATTACACACATTATTATCAGCAGGATATTCTTGTAAGTATTGCATAATGCAGAATACGTAATTAAATTCTCAATAGCTATAAAATTTTTACGAAAGAAAAATTAATGCCGAAAATCGGAAATAATTCTAGTGACAGTTGTTTTTTTTTATTTAATTGACAGGCAACGCACGCAAAGAAAATGCATACCTTACCGATTATTTATTTGCTCTGTGCATAAATTATATTTTCTGTGGCGTGTGCCGCGTGTGTTCCCGCGCTAAAGTTTTAGTTTAAAAAACTTTTAAATACTTTTGTTCAGTAAGTACTGAATTTTTATTATCTTTGTATGTCTGTTAAAGGAATTGACTTAATAATCAAGATTAATACCTTAGTTTTTATAATGATTGATTGTAGATTCACTTATTATAATAATGTAAGTAAATAAAATTCGTCATGGCAGCGGAATAATGATAGGGTTGCAGTAAGGGCCTTGAACTTATGACCTTCTCCAAAATCACATGTAATAAAGTACGGGAAATTAATATGAATAGCATTTAATATTTTTTATTACAAAAAATATGTCGTATTAGGTCGATTTAACTCTCAAAATAGCCACAGTTCTGTCAAGATGTAGGTGTGTTCAATTTTTTAAATTTAGATGCCGTCGTCCCTCGTCTCCAAGACAAATCTAGTCATTGCAAAGTAAACAGAGCTTTATTGCTCATCTACGGGGATTTAGGCGGTAATCCGGCGCATGCACGCTTCCATATTGCCCGGGGCTGTCATTTAGTCTTTTTTTTGCTGGACACAAGAAAATGTATTTTAAGCTTTAATGTAACTTATTAAATTCTGTGGTCTTAAGTTTGCAACCGTTTCAAAAAATCAACGTTAGTATTAGATTGATTGTTCAGTTTCACTTAAAACTTTTAAAATTCCATAGTGAGGTATTTTTTTTTAAATCTCCGGCTGAAATTGCCGGAGTTCGGTTTCAGACAAAACAATTTGTTGAGTATTTCAAGTATCAATAAAATGTATTCTTTTTAGAGCAAGTGGTGGTAGTTTCTCGCTAATGTCTACGAGCAAACTTGTAGTCTCCATACTTTATAGACGTTTATTTTTATTTATCTACAAGGTACCATAGTGAGGTATAGAAGCTTCAGAATTTTTAAACGCACTGTACGGACATCCATCAATAGCAAAGCAAAAGAAATCAATCAAGTTTTTTCTAAGTTTACAGCTTTGCATTATTGGCGCGCGCCGCAGTTGCAAGCCGCAGTGGAGATTTATCTTACTCACGGAGACATCCCGTTTGTTGCAGGAACTGTTTTTTGCAGGAGCCAGTTTAGTAGTATACGACATACGAGTTTTAATATTTTATTAACATTTACACAAACTTCTCGTTTGCAGTGTCCCACAAAAACCTGTCCTACATTACTGGATCCCGCAAAACTGGATTGCAGAGGGAAAGGGCATTTAAGGCTATATGTAAGTACTCGTAGTTTAGGTATATTTAGGCAGCCCTACCGACCAACCCGACGCATTGAGTCTTTCATCCAGGGCTCCCGCCATTCACGGCGTGAGATCGCAATTACGATAGGGAATGTCGCTGGCAAGTGACTTGAAAGGAGCCTCACACAGCGGGCACTTTAAAAAACCCACAGATTATTTTTTTTAAATCGTCCCCGTTTTGAGGCGGAGATAAATAGGCTTACAGCCCTTTTATTTTTTTTATTAACGCAAAGGAATAAAGTTTTGGTTTTAGGCCTTTATTGTTTCAGTCATGAAACAGACTGGTTTTGGTTGGGTTATTGGGTTTGAGTTGAACTGACCCGAAGGTCATGAGCTCTATTTTCCATATAAGAGTAGTGTTATACGTGTGTAAAGACTAAAGACACACGTATATATGTATACATTAAACTATCCAAAATATTTGTTCCTTTCAAGCAATGGACGTCCACTGCTGGACATAGGCCCCTCCTAAAGAATTCGACGGCACAACGGCTGGTCTTGTGCTGCCCGCAGCCAGGCCCCAGCATGTGACGAGCTTTAGTGTAATGGCACTCTGCAAAATTTTGCATCATTCGTATGCATTAATTCGCAGTAAATTATTTTAAAAACGAAACGAAATTATGTACTTGTTTAGAATTTCTACTAACCATTTTTGCGTCAGTTTCATGTGTGCACTTTCATTTTTGCTGATCTTTTGAAATAATTCTCTATTGCACATTACACATCCGGTCGAGTCAGCTTATTTATTTGG